GCTGTGTAGCCCAGGCTGGCCTCAAACTTGAGGTACTGTGGCTGCCTCGGCCTCCTGTGCTGGGACACAGGTGCCTGTCAGCACGCCCAGCGTGATTATTGGGTTTTTGTTTTGTTTTGGCAGAACCGGGGATTGAACTCAGGCTCTTGCGCTTGCCAGGGAAGCGCTTATTCCACTGAGCCAGCTCCCGGCCCTCAGCGTGGTTATTGCTTACTTCCTATTTGCTGCTAGCTGTTCTTTTCACTCAGAATGGAAAGCCCGCGTGGCCTTGGTCCTGTTAGCAGACTGCGCGCTGCCAGCCCCTCTGCAGCCCCTGGCTGCACCTGCGGCGCCCGGGCCTCTACACGTCGCTGTGACAGAGCTGTGGCTTCTTTGAGGACACATGCGGCTGGAGAGCGTGGCAATGGCGTGGGGCTGGTGTCCGTGGTGTCCTGGCCTAGCCTGAGCTCTTCCTGGATCCGGAAGGCAAAGCCCCACCATGCTGGGCGCTCACCGTGGCAGGCTCGGAGCCACCCTGCGTGGCTCCAGCGACTTGATGTTCGCAGGCCCCTGGTGGCCCAGGAGAACAGCGCGGTCTTTCCAAGTCTCCCCGGTGCAGGGGCCTGGTCCAGGCTGATTCCCCTGGCGCAGCGACTGCTACTGCTGCCGGCTTTCTCTCCAGCCGTCTCTCCCCAGAAAGGCCCGGTGTCCTGAGACGTTGGGAAAAATGCTGACTGGAGGTTTGTGCCGAGCAGCGCAGCCATAGCAGGGCGGCGTCCAGCTTAGATGGCGCATCCGAGAGCAGCGGGCCGGGCCGGGCCGCGCTTGGTCCCTGCCTTACAGTTAAGGAAACAGAGGCCGCGGGCCAAGGCCACTCGAGCAGTGCGAGGGGCCTCCAGAGGGGACGGGCTCCTGCTCTCCCGGAGACCTGAAGCCCGGCTGGGGACCGCTCACATCGGAGGCAGAGCGGGGTCGGCAGGGGCCGTGTTCCCAGATGCCCTTGACTGAGGGAGAAGTGAACTGCGTAAGGACAGGAGGGACCCGTGACGTGGGGTCCGCCTGTGCTGCCCGGCAGAGCTGCTTCCTGCATAATCTGTGTTAAGTTACCTGCCGCCTGTACCCACGAGGAGTGTGACAGTCCCCCCTCCTTCCCTCCACCCTGGCCTCCTCTTTCCCTCTCTTCTGCCTTCCTTCCTTGCTTTTGTGGATCTACTTCCCCTTTCTCACCCCACCCCTCTTCCTCCTCCTCTGGTGCGGCCAGGTGAGCCCTGTCCTGCCTCGCTCACCCGAGCCCTCTGTTTGCCTCTCCCAGTGTCTCACAAAACCTCTTTCCTCTCCCCCTTTCCCACTGGCCTTCTCCGGACAGCCACCATGACTGTCGTTCCCCTGAGCTGACTCCTGCAGTGCATAGGCATGGTGGCCCCAGGCTGAGTCAGGCACGGCGGTTGCCCTCCTGCCCTACCCATCCCCTTGGGGTCAGCAGAACTTGATGCTAAGTTCTGAGGGTATCTGGGCTTGGATATAGTCAGGAGGACTTGGTGACTGAGGGTCTGGGATGTGGCAGAGTGGCAGGCCACACCCTGGCTGTGGAGGGACCTTCTCTCTGTGACCCTGCTCTGGGTAGTTTCAGACACCCCTAGTGGACTCTCCTGAGACTGGACCTGCCAAAGGCACAAGGCAGCTATTGCCAGGGGTGTGTGGTGTCCTCCATTGACCCAAGGGCAAGTGTCACAGCCAGCCCTCTGGGGACCAGGTCTCAGGATGCTGACAGCTATCCCTTTTGTCCTCTGCTCTGTCTCGCTGGGCCTGTAGGTTCCCATCTGGGAGAGGTGGCTGCCATTTATCAAGGCCAGGGGCCCCTTGGGGTGTCCCCTCTGGACCAAACCTTCCTGCCACTGTGATTGTCCCTGTGGACAGCCTCTGCCATCTCCTGGGCAGCTGTCCTGGCATCAGACGTAGACCCTTGTCACAGCCTCTGTGAGGCTGTACCCTGGGTATCTCCTGAGGCGGGCAGGCACACATCAGCCCAAGCTGTGCAGAGCCGTGTGGGGCGGGGAGGCCCTCGGGACTTGCTGCTTATGGGCCAGGACAGAGCTGCTTCCAGGACATTCTCAGGCAGGGCATGCCCAAGCACCCAGGAGCACACCACCCTTGTTCCTTGGGAACACCTGGGACAGAGATGACAAGGAGGCCTGGGGGCGGGGCCGAGGGTCTCCATGTCCCAGGACCCATGGCCTCCCTGACCTCCCTGGCCTCTGTCCCTGCAGATGATTCCCCCTGACCAGGAGCTGCTGGTGTGGTATGGAAACTCACACAACACCTTCCTGGGCATCCCAGGGGTGCCCGGGCTGGAGGACGAGCAGAAGAAGAACAAGCACGGTAGGGGACTTGGAGGGGCCCTGGGTCCAGCTGGGGGGATGGCAGCAGGAAAGATGGAAAGACAGTGGGGCCTGCGCTGAGTTCGGCCACGTTGTGCGGTCTTGTGCCCGCCCCAAGCCCCAGTTTCCTCGGAGGGAAGGTCTCAGCCAAGGCATCTCTGAACTCCTTTCCAGCTCACACGTACCCTGGCCCTGGCCCTAGCGCTGGTGCAGGAGCTGATGTTAGGTATAAAGCAGAGCACTTGGAGCCGGTGTGTGTCATGGACGCTGCTCTCCAACACAGACGCCTGCTCAGGACCTGTGCTGTAGGCCTGGCATGGTAGTGATGCTGGGGAAGAGGATCCCGAGTCTGACCACTGCCCGGGCAACTTAGCAAGACCCTGTCTCAAAAAAGAAAGAGGGTTTCAGTGCAAACACCTTTGGTTTACACTCCCATAGTGGGGAAAACAACAACATGGAAAAACAAAAAAACCCAAAACCCTACACTTTGCCCAATATTGGGCCAGCTCTGGTGTCCTGGGTAGGAAACAGAGCCCTGTGATAAGTACCAAAAGCCACCCTCAGCCCTTGCGGAATTTGATTGTGTTTATTTTTAGAGGAGAAACCTGAGGCCACTAAACTTCTGATTTTTACTTAGGGATGACACTATTATGACCTTCCAGGCCTGAGAACCTGACTTGCAAACCAGCTAGTACAAAGCTGGAGGTTGATGGATATGTGGGAGATGAATTAGCGATGGTTGTTTTTGATTAGGTTCCTTTTTTTTTTTTTTTGTGCCGAACCGGGGATTGAACTGAGGCCCTTGTGCTTGCCAGGGAAGCACTTATTCCACCGAGCCATCTCCCTGGCCTCCCCCTTTTCTTTTCCCCTAATACTTGCAGTTGAACTCCGGCCTTCATACATCCCCAGCTTTTTTGCTTTGAGACACAGATTCACCAAATCGCTAAGTAGCCCAGGCTGGGCCCCCAACTTGCTGTCCTGCTTCAGCCTCCCGCAGTGCTGGGACCACAGGTGTGCACCATCATTTTCAGCTCCAGATTCTTAGCTAACAGATGAGCAGGCTAGGGAGGTTAGGGAGCAGGGTCACTTAACTCCCCCAGGGCTCCCTGCGGGCTGGGGGACCCAATTCCTATTTGACCCCAGCGCTCAGGTCTGCAGAGCGCAGCATCCCAAGCCGGCTGGGGCCCCCAGTGGTGCGGAGCATGGAGTGGCGTGCATGATGCACGTGTCCTGCGGCTCTAACCTGTCCTGTGTCCTCCCGCCCCCAGAGGACTTCCACCCCGCAGACGCGGCTGCGGGCACGGCCGGCCGCATGCGCTGCGTCATCTGCCACCGCGGCTTCAACTCCCGCAGCAACCTGCGCTCGCACATGCGCATCCACACGCTGGACAAGCCCTTCGTGTGCCGCTTCTGCAACCGCCGCTTCAGCCAGTCGTCCACGCTGCGCAACCACGTGCGCCTGCACACGGGCGAGCGCCCCTACAAGTGCCAGGTGTGCCAGAGCGCCTACTCGCAGCTGGCCGGCCTGCGCGCTCACCAGAAGAGCGCGCGCCACCGGCCGCCCAGCGCCGCGCTGCAGCAGCACTCGCCCGCGCTCCCCGCGCCCCACGCG